TCACAGGTTGAAAAAAACATTCCTGCAACAGAATCTCAATCCCTTTGGAGTCCCACTTTCAGGATAGCTAGTCCACGAGGCTGGGCAGAGGGCTGAGGCAAAATCCACACTCCTCCTGATCCCTTTACTGGGGCTACAAGCCAGGAAATGCTTTCCAAATGCTTGCTGTAGCCTTATTATGTTGGATAGTAGAAAATAATTTTTATTCACCAAGTGCAGGTATTTTACCAGACCTGTAAAACAAAGCTGTAGTTACACGGCCGCGTTCCTAAAATGTGACACTGTCTGTGGTTCACCTTAGAACCTTAGTGGGTACTTAAAGTCACAGGGTGTTGCTTGTCAGGTTACCGAACTTTGGTAAAAAAGATTTTTAAAAATCACATTTTCTGACTGAAAATGTTTTGTGGACCTACTGCATATCCAGTGGGCCTCCACATGACAAGCATGGACATATGTTGTAATGATCTGTAGTTCGTGCCAGGAGCTGAACTTCTCACACTGTGTCCCAGCCAGGAATAAATAGCTTTGTCTGTTTTGCCAACACTGCTGCTGAACTGGAGTGCCATCACAGAGGTCACTTGGTGACTGCTCCCCTTCTCCTTTCTGCTCTGCCTCAACCCTCGCTGCTGTACAAATGCCAACTGACAACAACTGACACAGATGGTGAGCAGAAACACAGACGGACAGGCAAAGGAAGAGAACCACCCACAGGAGTAAGAAAACAGGAAGACTCTACACACACTGTCCAAGAGAGGATATTGCCTGACAAATATTATCAATTCATTTATTTTTAACTTTTTTAAAATTTTAATCTTTTCCTTTTTTCTGCTTTTTAAAAGTATTCTTTTTTTTCCAGCACATGCCATATGAGAATCTGGGGATTATAAAAGTACCTGAAAGAATTGCTAGGCTTTCAGCATGCATAGCTGTTTGTATTTACAGGTTTGTATGTACAGGGATGGGCCAAAAACACACTGTTCTACAGTAGTGGGTTTATTTACATCCAGGTCAGAGGGAGAGGTCAATGTCATAACTACAGATGTGGAGGGTCACATGCATAGGGTCAGAGAAAGCTCATATGGTTGAGTACAACTTGGATGATGAAGACACAGAACATAGCAACGGCAAAGTAACATTACTGTTAATTCAACAACATCACATCTCCCTCACATACCCTTTTTGCTTTTGAATACGCTTAATTAAGAGTTTTCAACAACTGATTATTGCGCAACACTATACAACATTTCTATTGCAAGTCCATGAGGTCCGTGGGTACCGAGACAACACTAAGATTGGAAGACTTGGATCTGGTCTCAGGGCAGTGCAGGCTCACTACTGCTTGTCTACAGTCAGCTTATTGCAGTGTGTTTTGTAGGTATTTCCTCAGTATTTGGGTGTGTTGTTATTACCCACAAAAACAGATATATACACAAGTAAGTAAAATTTGACCTGGCTTGTTATCGGTCAGTTCCTTTGGTTTGTCATATTGCTGTAATGCTAATGATTTTCTTTGAGTTTTTGTTTTAATTTTAGCTAAGTATATCATTTCAGATTTAGTGTTGTTTTATTGTACCTTTATGTCTCATCTTCTGCTCTCCGTAAATCAATCTGGTAGTAGCATAGCTGCTTTTGTTTTGGGGAATGTCCAAGTCTCAGGTCATTCAAAATAAGTCTTGGTAAAGTCTCAAGTCTTCATTGGAGTGTTTTACGTTTCTGGATGCTGACTATGTGCTCTGTAATTACACTGCATTTTAGAGGATTTAAGGCCAAAACTATCTCTTCAATGTAGGAAACTATATGTATATTTCTAACCTTTATTTAGTCAGGGTCAGTTCACTGAGAGCCCACCTCTCTTTTTCAGGAACATAGCTCTTCAGCTGTTTGTCGTTATAACATTATATATTATTATAAATGAGAATGCAGCAAAACTTACTGATCACACAAAAATAACTCTCTGCGTAATTACAGAGGTCAATCCTGCTCAAAACCTTTTAGAAGCTAACATCTCTGCACTGCTGCCAGTGCTGTTGAATGAGTCTGGGTCACAGGAGGCTTCGACAGCACTGCTCCACATTGAGTTTTGGAGCAGATTTCTACAACTAAAATATTTGAAGAATCTTACATACTGTAGCTTTAAATAAATGTTCTTCATTTACTACAGCTACAAAATCTTTGCATCAACAACATGGCAAATTGTTGCATATTATCACTCTTAGCCTCACAGATAAGTCAAAGTCAAGTCTCGAGTCCTCATTTCAGCAACTTAAGTCTGAGTCAAATCAAATCAAATCAAAGTGTCCGGTTTTTGAATGAAAAGAACAATGCTAAAACACCACAGATGTTTCTCTGGAAACTACTGTACACAAAGTAATGACTCACATTTAGTTGCAGAAGATAGAAGAAAAACACACAGCAAAATCCATCAGTTTGTAGACAGCAAAATTTACAGGCATAATCTACAGTTTCACATGGATTAGAAATGGAGATGTGTATGATGCACTCTGGTTCAGTGACATTACCTTTCATGTAGATTGGCCCAAGTGTATTTGTGAATCTGTTCGTGCATGTGTGCAGCCGTATACATGTATGAGTAAATGTTTGTCTGTAGCTGTGTAATGTAATTGTATCAAGTTTGTCGTGCACCTCTTGTTCTGTTTGCCACTGCCTCGCACACCCCTTGCCTTCTATCTGCAAACACACACATGCACACACAGTGATAGATGAGTGTGGTGGGTGGGTGAGCATGTCCATGCCTAATCTCATCAACCTTATCTTTTACAGAGGTCACAAAGTCAAGTGGGGGTGGGGGGGGTGAGCGCTAAACACCAATAAGATAGCAGATTGCTGGGCAGCCCATGTAGTGCTCCATTCAGCACTGACTGGACCATTGTATCGTGGAGATAAACAGTAGTACACACTCTTGCTTTTCTAGGAAATTTAAAAAAAATTTGAATCCCTTAACTACTGATGACTTCATTATAAACTCAGCAACATAATTTAGATTTGAATTAAACTTATTATTTCAGTTTACAGCAGGACCAGACACAAACAAACTGCTCTAAAAGTCAGCCAAGTTCAAGGGGGCGTGAGTGAGTCAAAGGCTGAAATCTTCGGCGGAGTTTAAAAGGCATTTAACTTTCAGACGGCCTCAATCAGATGCCCTGAGCGAGGGGGGATGAGTTAAACTGAGCGCGTGTGAACCTGTAACTTGGAGACACTGCTTGGCATTTGTCTGCCTTTGATATGGTGACATGTGATGTGGATGAAGTTATCGCCCCACTGGCAGGTGAGACAGACAGCGGCACACAGAGAGATGCTGCCTTTTCATCTGCTGTTTACTAGCTCTCTCATCACACTGCACTTCAAACATGCTCAATCTGCTGCTGCGACGTTACACACCGGGGCTCCTCCTGGCGGAAGTTTACTTCGGGCTTAGAAGGGGCTGTGTGTTAGTGTGTGTGTGTGTGTGTGTGTGTGTGTGTGTGTGTGTGAGTATGTGTGTTGATGAGGAAAATATTTCTTGGAATCTGATTCGTGCACACTTGCATGTGAAAGTATAAATGCTTTAGACCTCAGTGGATCTTTCCACTTCATGTGTGTTGGGCTCACAGCTGCTTTAGGAAGCTGTTCAAACAGTTGCCATGTAATGTGGTTCTATAGTGTGTGTATACTTGTGTCTTGCCCATGTCTTAGTACTGCACACTGTATATGGGGTTGTCTCAGTTTGAGCCAGTGGTCTGCGCTAATCCTCGGTCATCACTTCAGCGTTCCCCCTCACTCTCTCTGCTCCCGATCTTGCTCTCGCTCCCTCTCGTTGGGAGATAAAGAGGCAAGCCATTTCATGTGACCGTATAGAAGTCGTCTCCAGCCCCAGAGTTTGCAGGGAAGCTGTCACAGCAGCTTTTAGCCAGAGCTGCAACATGAAAGATCCCCCTTTGAACATTTGGGTTACGTGTGTAATTCTCTCTGACATGTTTATTCTGCTGCAGTTACAACTTTCATTTTCAAATGTCACAGAAAGCTCCCTCCCCCAAGAATATCCCTTCTAATTACTGACTGATGGGGCAAGCTGTTTTACAGAACTTAGCAGGCCACATCCAAATACTATTGTACAGAGTGTTTGGGCTTGAGACGACGTGAAACAGTCATTTCCTGTGTTGAAATTTGAGTGATCTTCAGTGTTAAAGTAATAAGTGAAGACTTTCTGTGAAAGAGCTGGAGGGAAAGCCTCGTGATGTATGTTTGTGTGTTGTACAGTATGTGAATATACAGTATCGCTCATCTGTCACCAACAAAGTTCTGATTTAAACACATAGAGAGTAGTACTTGCATCATTTCCAATACTTATTCTCAACTTTAAAAGCCTGGCTGAGCCCATATACACATCGTTTGAAAATATACATATCCATAACCATGACATTGAAACCTGCTCTTTTACAATATACATACAGTAAAAGCTGTGGTTTTCCTGGTGATTCCCATCCAGTCAGGTGCTGGTGTCTTTTTTTTTGTTTTTTTTTGTTCATGTTATCACCTTCTGCGCCGTGAGTCTGTACATCTGTGGCACTCACGTGGTTCCGTATAGCCAGAGGTTCTGTGTACACTGGGTAGAGAAATAAATAAATAAATATATGTATATAAATATATATACAGTAAGGGGCAATGCTCTTCCCATGGTATTATGACCCAGTCCTCATGGGCTGCACTGGGAGGGGAGAGACAGCGTGTGGAGTCTTTTTATTTTTTCCTGTGGACATTCTGTTCTATTGTGTCTTTTTGTCTGTGTGTGTGTGTGTGTGTGTCTCACAGAGTACATAGCAATGTAATTGTGATGCAGTGTTCGCTGTTCATCCTCTTTTCTTGTCTGGACAGGACACATCCTAATGTCTGTGTGTCAGTAGATGAGTTCTCTGTATTTTCTCTCCTCCTGCAGACTGACGCTGTCTCATGATTCGCCCGCTGAACTCGTTTCTCCTTCTTCTGTGTTTCTCTGTCTGCAGCAACAAGGGGCGGCCACCACTGTGTACTGCGCTGTAGCTCCAGAGCTGGAGGGGTTAGGCGGCATGTACTTTAACAACTGCTTCCGCTGTCTGCCGTCCATCCAGGCCCAGGACCAGAGCAGTGCTGTCAGCCTGTGGGAGCTGAGCGAACGCCTGGTTGCAGAGAGGTCAGCAGGCATACAGGCCCTCTGATAGACAGAGGAGGAGAGGGGGAAGGGGACCGGCCAAACAGGAATCAGGGAGGAAGGATGGTGGGTCATGGTGATATCCAGTTAGGTATGAATTGAAGAAAAGGTAACTGTACTCTGACTGCACTATACAAGAGAGCTGCCAAACCACAGAAGTCCATCTGGATATTTCACATCACAATGAGGGCTAAAACACACTAGATATACAGTACTGGGGTGGTGTCATATACACTCTATTGAAAAAGTCAGGGTTGTGTTCAGATCTGCTGTGGTAGTTTACAATGGGGGGGATGATCTGGGACATTAATGTTTGTTTTTGTCTCGGCAGCTTTTCACAACTCAAGTCATCTGCAGGTCTGTTTAAAAGAGCAAAGTTCGACAAAGCAAACAACCTTTCTCACTGACAGTACTGAAGTATTAGTTACCTAATAAGCACACACTCTATGGCATATGTGCCTGATTCCAGCAGTAGTGCACAATATGGTAAATATTACGTCTTCCCAATTAATGTCTAATTATTCAGTATCCTCTTGTCTAGTTCTACGTGGGTGTCGATGTTTCCTATTGAGATATGAGCGTCGGCTGATCACTGTGCTAAATCTTTTGGGGCACAGAAGAAATAAGGAGCAATGGGTGCATGATATTTATGGATATATAAACACACTAGATGTATGATTCTTATGTCTATATACATTAATCTGCAATAGTTTTATTTCTTATCAATGTCCCTATTCGTTTTCTGTACACTATTTACACCATCCTGATTTCTGGGCATGTGCTAAAGGGGTGTGGACATCATATTTTGTTCAGTTTACTATTTGACTAATAATCTTTACTCTGCTAAGATGTATTACAATTTGGAGGTATTTAAGGGAATGATCTGTGTCCATTTGATTAGCAAATATAGATGGTGGAGAATCTTATTTGCAGAGTCCATGATCTTTAATTTCTGTTTCTTCAAGATTTCAGTCTTCTGCTTTTTTTTTTCTTTTAAAATATCGTCGTTGTTTTAATATTGAACACTGGCTTTGGGTTTGCTGTGGATTGGTGACCATGAAGCCACTGTTGGGTTGCTTTTGAGACATTGTGCTTTATGGCAGTCTGGGTAGGTTTGCCTTTGAAACATCAGCATTCCAGTGTTGTATCTGGAAAAAAGAGAGAGAGAAATCATTCAATAAAAATCAGTTTTACAGGAAAGTGTGTGAAATCCTTTCAGCCACAGAAAGTGAAAGTCCATTCATTTGAAGGCCATTGGGGGAGATATTTGTGAAGGGAGCTGACAAGTAAGCAACACTGACGACTAAGTAAGACTGTATGAGATGAAAGACATTTATTTGTACATTCATGTGTGTTTAATGATGCATTCAATAAAACAAATGAGCATTTTTCTCTATTGCGTTGGTGATATGCTTTATGTCTCAGCATTCAGGTTGTGTGCGGCTGGACAGACCAACAAGCCGATGCCACAGGTGACCTGCTCTCTCACGCAGGGATCCCCAGCTGCCTGTTAATATTACTCCTTCAATTAGAAAAGCAGCAGAAGAACTGTATTTATTTGTTTGGCTCACACATAAATGCACACCACCTCTTGAGTCACACCACAATTCATGACTCCTTTTTTCCCCCTCACATATCTTTCACCTGCTGCCTCACTCCTCATACTGTGTCTCTTTTTGTCTGCTTCTTCTGTTGTTCCTATGCATTCAGTCAGAAACATGCTACACTCTTACAAAGCCTGCCTGCTGGTGTCCTGCCCTGTTCAATCTGTACTGTACGGAGTACAGGTGTCTTATCACTGTCCTTTCACAGCGCAGGATATACCTGGAACAGAGATGTAGTAAAACACATGCACTTAGCAAGAACAGCCAGTGTCTCACATGTACACAGCGAGAAACCGAGTGAAAAAACAAGAAAAGCATCCAAAGAACAGTTGTGTGTAGTATTTTGCAGTGACCCCCGAAGAAAACTACATGTATCAGATACATACAGAAACAAGTGATTTCACTATAGCCACACTGTTCAAAAATATTAATGATAATTGTTAATTAATTATAGACACATTTTCACTCAGTCTGCAAGCTGCTCAGCCTGAGTCTCCCCTGCTTCAGCTTTGAACAGGTGTATTTCCCAGTTAGTGGCCATTTATCGGTCAGCTGTTTAGTTTCCCTTTGCCAGTTGCTGGACACTAGCAAGTTATTGAGTTTGTCCGTTGTGCAGTTTTTTTTCTATCCCTTTGATAAATGAACTACACTTACAGTACAGTGTTTAGAGCTTTTTGACCTTAACAGACCGGTGGTGGTGTTTTAGTCTCACCACCTTCTTCTGTGTTGATTTTAAAGAGTAAGTCCACACCTGAGACTTTTGTAATGTCCCCTCAGCCACCAGGTAAAAACAAAATTTACAAATGGGAAAAAGATGCCCTCCAGAGTAATGCTAGCTGTGTGTGAGTGCATCACGAAACTGACCCTGCTGGAAACACTTGGCTCATACACTTACCTGCCTGCTACACACCTGTTGTTAATAGCTGAAGTCAGAATGACATTGAAAACAGTGGCGGGAAGTAATAAAGTGGTTCAGTGGGTGGAGCGGTTTTCTCACAACCTGAAGGGTGGAGGTTTGAATCATGGTGCCTGTAATCAACATGTCGAAGTGTCCTTGGGCAAGACGCTCAACCCCAAGTCACCCATCAGTGGCTCTAACCATCGGGGTTGGTGTGAGTTGGTGCTGCAGGTGGCTGACTCAGTTCTGTACCACAAACAAATTCCATGTGTGTAACATACTTGGCCCAAAAAAGTTATTATCATTATTAATAAATACTTTATTACTGCACTTTAGATTTTTTGGGGGTATCTGTACTTGAGTATTTATTGTTCTGATAACTTTTTACTTTTACTCCCTACATTTTAGCAAAACTCTCTGTACTTTTTACTCCTTACATTTTCAAATCAGGCTCGTTACTTTTAGTTTTAATACATTTGAGGGGAATTATCTTTTATTTTTATTTAGCATACCGTTGCACTGGGTGACATGGTCCTTGTTTACAGTCTGCTAGCTCCTTGCGCTTTCACGGAGATCTCGCACATGCATTTCAACCGAGGCACTTTTATACATAGACAGTATAGTGTACAAACCAGTATTTGAGTAGTAGCAAATTACTTGCGTGTTAATTTTAATCACTTTTATTGGCCAAGTATGTTATATATAGATAAACAAGGAATTTGTCTCTAGTATAGAACTGAAGCAGCCATAGTGCCAACCCTCTCTCTCACACACACACACGCCAATGGCAGCATTATCCCTGCAAGGCGCTGACCTGACCTTGGGATTCAGTGTCTTGCTCACGGACACTTCGACATGTGGACTGGAGAGAATGGCAATTGAACCACTGACTTTCCAGTTAGGGGATGACCGCTCCACCTCTGGAGCCACAGCCACCCAACGTTGCATTTATCACTGACAACTCTATGAAAGTGACGCTATAGAAAACCGAGTGTCTGAGGAAACCTTCGACTGGAGGAGTGGACTCGAGACACAAAGGAGAACAACAAACAACCAAATGCCTGTGCAGCTGTCCAGTGAAGTGACCAATCCAAGGTGCCTGAGTGAAGAGGGAGGGTCCTGCCTGGCTTTCATACAAAGTCCTATTGATCAGGTACTATCGGAATCATCTGATAGCTAATCGATAACCTACACAGCCTCTCAGCGTGGGGAGAGAAGCATGGCTCTCGCAAGAAAAGGACCTTGATCCCTTGACCCCACAGTCAAGGCCCTGTACACACACACACACACCTTCTGTTTCTTGTCCTTTCTCTATCTCTTCATGTCTCTCTTGTAACAACAGAACAAGACAATATAATAACTGGAGAGCTGGTGTAAACCAAATAACCAATATGCATTAGAATGTAATTTTAATAAGTCGGATTTACAGTTGATTTTTCCCTTCACTGAGTTTATTTCAATTTGGGCAGTAATTGTTTACGACTGATCATTTCATTTTCCATTATTGTTTTTATTTCTTCTTGTGATTAATTTCACCTCTCAAAGAATAATTATGAGAGGATTGATTTGATTACGCCTTTGTTCTGCTCCTATTGGCTCCATTGAATGAGGGAATGCCATGTTGCCATTTCAAACGGATATATTTAATGATCACAATCAATGTTAAAGCTCTCTCTAGACTCAACTAACTCAATAAATATCTGCCAGGAGGAAATTTACCATCTAACTATAACAGGCAATAAAGCTCAGTGTTCTCCTTCCTCTACTCTGCTCCATTTCCATCGTCCTCTTTTGAAGATGACACTGTGATTAAAACCGCTGATCAATTTTCATATAGTAAGACTGTAGAGTCAATGAAAATATTATTTCCTTTCAATATCTGTACATGTGCTTTGCTTGCATACTGCATTTTTGGATTGAGCTGGATATAATATAGTTTTAATAATTGTAAACAAAAGACAAACTTGCTGATCATTCCCCCAGACTCTTTTCTATGTAATTAGTATATTTTAATATAAAAATCTGCTTGTGTAAAATTTCTTCTTAAGTCTTGTTTTGGAGACATACATACATACATTTACTCAAGTGCTGTACTTACTGTAAGTACAATTTTGAGGTGTCTGTATTGTGAGTATTTTCATTCGCTGCTACTTCATACTTCACTACATTTTAGAGGCATATTATACTTTTCACTCCACTACATGTATTTTATAACTTTAGTTACTGTTTACTTTTCAGAACCAGATTAATACAAAAAATATAATACAGTTATAAGATATTATTGATCCATGGTGGGAAATTCACAAGCTACCCAACAGTACTTCAAATTAAAAGCGTATAAGGTAAGGCAGCTGGTGAAGGTGGAGCTACCTTATATACTTTTAAAAGATGTTAAAGTAGAAGTATTGCACTGAATTCCATACAGTTGTACAGGTTACCTAATAGAGTGGACGGTGAGTTTAAGCAACATGTTGAATGCAGGGCTTTAACTGTAACAGAGTATTTTTTTTACACCATTGTATTGCTACTGTACTTTTACTTAAGTGAGGGATCTGAGTACTTCTTCCACCACTTCTTTTAAAGGTGTAATTCTGATTCACAAAAGTGACAAAGCCACTTAAACATTTGTGTGTGAGATGCAGTGAACCAGTATCATTAAAAAAGATAACCATTATTGTTTGAAACACTACTGTATTTAAACAACACAATACTCAGTAACACGCTGAGGGTAAGTTATGAATGTTCTATATGATGAGGAAGTTCGGTGTTTTCTCTTAGGTCTTCTCTCTATAGGATGATGGCGAAATTGTTGGCACATGCAAAAAGTAGACGCATTTCTCCCCTTCAGGTTTTGTGTAGTCTTTTATATGGAATTTTAGAACCAGCATTGATAACATTTGGATCCAAATGGCTGTGATTCATTGAGCCTGTTCACAATCAAATGCACTTATTTCTCCCTCTAGATCTGCTTGTGCAATCTATAACTTTCTCTGTTTTTATTGAAGTCTCAACACGGCACCTTTGAGGAAATCCTTCCAGCTCCAAATCCCCAGCTTGTCCTCACCACTAGACAGTGTGACCTTGTAAACCCTGAGTTATTTTACTCACCCATTGTGTGAGAATAGAAAGAAAGAGAGCGAGAGAGGGAAGAGGGTGAGAGGAGGGACAGGGGGTTAGAAAAAAAAGAGCTCCTGCCTGTCACAGCTTTCAAACACAAAGAAAAATGAGCACTTGGGCTGAAGTACAATTATTAGCCCCTGTCTACAGATTCATCACACTATAGAGAGGGAGGGAGAGGGGGGAGAAATGGAGGGAGGAGCAGAGCAAGAGGTGGTGTGGAGGAAGGTAGAATAAAGTATAGGCAGAGCTGTATAGAAGATGGAAAGACAATGAGGAGAAAACACTGAGCAAATAGAAAATAGGACTGTGAGGAAGAACAGAGCAAGCGAGGCGGGGCACAAGGTGAAACTTGCCAAGCTTCCGCAGAGTCGGGAGAAAAGAGGGGGAGGGAGGTTTTAAAGAAATAAAAGAGAAACAGGGAAAG